GCTAAATCGGAGAGACCAGGTCACTCATCGTATTGATAAATCTCCGATTCGGATGCTCCGATTACGTAAAACAAACGACGTAATTTAAAGATCGGAGCTCCGGGACGAAAGAATAGATATAAAAGCAATCGATGAAAAGAGAAGACGAAATTGAGCGAGCGAGAGAGAGAGAGCGTACCTTAAAGAGTTACTTGGCTTGGTGATGATGGAGGAGATGAATGCAAAAAGATGATGATATTAATAGCATCATCAGAGACGAGAGATTACTTAATCCTCTGATTAATTCATCATTAAGTAAAAATAAATGTTACCTTTGGTTTCTTTCGGTTTATGAATCTCGGTTCTTTCTCCTTTCGGTTTAGATATTACAGATTTTCGGTTTTAAACTATATAAACCGTAATAAAACTATGTTCGGTTTACTTTCATGTTATATATTTAATAAACCTAAATTTTGTAAAAAATAATAATTGGACCATATATTAACATCACATTTCAAAAAAAAAACTTATTATATTATCAGATTAAATAATATTTTACACTAATTGAACTTAGAATTAGTAAAATTTATTAATACATTATATTTATCTACTCTATTAAAATAGAATGAGAATTCGGCAAAAAAAAACACGAATTTTGCACGAATTGCCAAAAGAAACTTGAACTTTTGGTCTGACCAAAAAAAACATAAACTTTTCATTGACTTTATAATTAATTGACAATGTTTTCGTTGACTTGCCAATTTGGCACGCCGTCAGCAAATTTAACAGAAAAAATTAACGTTGTTAATTGTTGACGTTAGGATGAAACGACGTCGTTTTAAACGATTTGAAAATAAAAAGCCGTAGACCACTGGACTCGAACCCGGGGTGATTGATCAAATTGCAAGTTAGTTTACCACCGGGCTAGTGGCACATTCAATGTACCTACTAACACATTTATTTATATTTGGTACTCATTGAATATAAAAAAATTCTATAAAAACTTTAAAATTTCAAAAAAATGAAAAAAATAAAGAGTTTTTTTTTATAAAATTAAATTTGAAATTAAAATTAAAATATTTTTTTTCTTTAAAAAAATCAGACGGGAACTCTTAAAATTTTATTTTTCTTTCAATGTATCTACTAACACATTTACTTATATTTGGTACTGACTGAATATAAAAAAAATTCTGTAAAAACTTTAAAAAATCTTTATAATTTCAAAAAAATGAAAAATAAAGAGTTTTTTTATAAAATTAATTTGAAACTAAAATTAAAATAAAATTTTATTTTCTTTAAAAAAATCAAAAATCTTCCAAAATTTTAGTGTAAAGAAATAATAAATTTTATTTTAATTATAAAATTAATTTTATAAAAAAAATCTTTATTTTTCATTTTTTTGGAAATTTTAAAGATTTTTTAAAGTTTTTATAGAATTTTTTTATATTCAATCAGTACCAAATATAAGTAAATGTGTTAATAGATACATTAAAAGAAAAATAAAATTTTATAAGTTCCCGTCTGATTTTATAAAGAAAAAAAAAATTTATTTTAATTTTAATTTCAAAATTAATTTTATAAAAAAAATTCTTTATTTTTCATTTGTTTTGAAATTTTAAAGATTTTTAAAGATTTTTATAGATTTTTTTTTAATATTCAATCAATACCAAATATAAGTAACGGCAATAATTAACGTCCGAGTTAACACCGTCTTAACTGTTCGTTAACGGTGTGTTAAAATGGCGAGTCAATCGTAAGTTTCTTAATAAACTAATAAAGTCAACAAAAGTTCAGGTTTTTTTTGGCCGGACTCGAGTTTAGGTTTCTATTGGCCATTCGTGCAAAGTTGGTGCTTTTTTTGGCCGAATTCTCAAAATAGAATTAATAAAAGTGTCACTGATAAACCATTAATTAGTAACTTAACAAATTAACCTAAATATATTCTTATAGTATAATATTTTTCTAACAAAAAGCAATATACATCCAAACAATTTCATTAGAAATAAAGCCATTACATTTTTATTAAGCAATTATTATTTTTGAAATGTTACTTCCCTTAAAAATAAATATATATCCACATAGGTGCGTTGAGTCAAATTTAGTTTTTTTTTTCTTAACGCCGATTTATTATGATATTACAATTATGAGAAAGGTTACATAGACGATCCGACAATACTACATACCTTATGATGATCTACACCTAACTGCATCACTTAAGCCGTCCTATGAAGATTCACGCCTGGCCGAGTTTACTTGCATCATACTGAAATCCATTGTAAGCCTTTTTCGTAGTCTGCATAATTGTTTAATAAATCGGACCTCCCGGTGTAAAATCATTAATGAACTATTAGTCAAATCACTAAACTAAAAGGGCTTCCACGAGTTAAATTTAGTTAATAGCTAAGTTTTGAGTTTTGCTGTATAAAAGCCTTAATGTTTCATAGAGTTTGCTCATAATTAAAATTATACTAATTATATACTTGCCTTGACCTAAGACACAGTTGAGATAACAATTCCAAATCAAAGAATCATAAAAAAGTTTCAGACTATAGTTGGATGATGCGTCTCCATAAGGTAATTGCACTTGAGTTCTCGATCTGCAAGCAATACAGAAAGGAGGCTAAATCTCAAGCATGCATATAGAGAGAATATGTTTCAAAGGAATCTTAGACAAAGAGGAGGATTCAAAAGCTAGATAGATCTCTTCAGGATTAGAGCGAGCTTTGTACTTCAAATCGAGTGGAGTAAATTCGGTATGCTTTACTCTTGCGATAATATAGGGATTAAAACGGAGTAACTAAGCATAAGTAGGAAGTCGTCAATATAATATTATACATAGTCTTCAAAACATTCAATCCATAATAAAGTAAAACAGCAAGCTACTGATCACACTATTCATAGTTCTTAAGGCTCTAAAAGAAATACATAATTAAGAAGACAGTTTAAGGTTTTAGTAGAAACAGCCTTATGCTTTTAAGTATTTATTAATTAGATAGATAATGATATCATCGGCAACCTTCAAGCCCTTAATTATTCAAGAAGGTGGAAGGTAATGATGTCCGAGGCAGATGCTGAATGAAGGGCATGGTTAGGGTAATGGTGGTGGTGATTCTGATGGAAACGAAGTTGATATCCAAGAACCGAATCGTAGTCTCCTCCATTGTCTACTAGTCCATAATGTGGATCTTCTGCTCTTAGTTCCTGTTTCATGGAAGGGATTATAACTTATTAATGAGAACTAAAAGCCATATTCAACAATCAACATCCAACATTGTTAACTCCAAGTGACATATGACATGTTTGTTATTTGATCTCATTCACTAAGAGAAAACACAAGAGTGACTCGATCGATCTCCACACATTTTTATCTCTTTAATTTCCTAAAAAAGTGCAAGGAAAACAAAAAGAGAGAAGACTGTACCAGCTCATGTATGAGATTCTTTTGTATGTCTTGTTGACTTTTGTTCTGCAATTGAGTAAACCACAAGAGAAAACTATGAAGAGACTGTAGTGATTAAGACTCTTAACTGTCTAATCCACTTTTCTTTCATTTAGCTTTTATGACATCACTATAATATACTCTTGGCTTTTATTTTTATCCATTAGTTTATTATAATCCGACTGTAACTATAGAAGAAATGGATTATTAAGTTATGTTTGAAAAAGTTGGATGCCCAAATGATGACATGGTTAGGTTCGTTTAATTATATGGTTCCCTGTGAAAAGGTGCTATACAGTTTTAGCAAGTGCATAATTTCAGCTGCACGAAATTGTTGAGACAAATAATATGATATAATGTTAAAATAGTGAAGATTGAAGAAGATGTGACCTTTTTCTTGGTGGTCTCGATTTGATTCCCAAGGGATTTAAACTGTACAATTAACATATATATAGATTAATTAAAAAAATTCTCACATATATTATCTAACAGTAAACTAAATGTTTGCCTTGTTAGTACAAACTAATACAACAAGTCTTATGAGTTATGACTATAATAAACTCAAGACGATTGAAAACCCTAGATAAGGGAAAACTATGATGATACCTTACGCTCACGAACGAGTTTGAAAGTATTTTCCATTTCCTCCTCAAGACTACGCAGCTCCTGAATATCAAGCTCGTCCAAGCAATCACCTAGCCTCTGTCTACAATTAATAACCATAAATTACGATTTTATAAAAAAAAATTCAATTTAAAGAGAGATATATGAGTGAAGAGAAAAAGAAACAAATACTTAATCTGAGTCCGAAGTTTTTGGTTTGTTTCCAACAGTTTCCTCTTGGTTTCTTGCATTCTCTACAACAAAGATTCACCAATCTCACCAAACAAGAAGATAAAAAACATTAAAAAGAACAAGAACAAGAATAAGATCTGAGAAGAAGAAACCTCATAGTGAGCGCTCCAAACATCAACATCAGAAACTGTTTGGTACAGATCTATGATCTCCTTCGTTCTTTAACCCAACAAGACCACACAAGTTAAAAAAAAAAGTTAACTAGAAGAAAGAAAAACAATTTAAAATGGTGTTTAAAAGAGATAATCTTACGTGGTGTTAGGGCTGATAAACTCATGAAGCTTGTTGGAGCTAGAGAACATGATAATCGAAACCCTAGCATCACACAAAACCGTGAGCTCGTGAGCTTTCTTGAACAAACCATTTCTTCTTTTGGAATACGTCACTTGTCTGTTGGTTTGGTTCTCTATCCTCTTGATCTGGATCTTCCCTCTCGCCATTATTCTTCTTTCTTTTTAGTTGTTGATATTTTGATGAAGAGAGATTTGGAGGAGAGGACAAAGAGATTACAATAAAAAAAGAAGAAAGAAGTGCAAGAGAAAGCAAAGGAGACTTACTATAAATAAAGGGTGCTGCCGAATCCATGAAAGGTAAGTTCAGAAGTTGATGAAAACTAAGTGATAAACTTTCCTCTTTGGTAAGTGGAATGGACATTATATGATGGTTAATTACAAGACACTGCTTAAACTCAATTGTCTATAGGTGGAAGAGTGGACCGAAGCTATAAATGGGTTTCGTCTGCTTTCCGTTTGTTTATTCACGGAGCTCTGGTAGTTCCGACGTTACTTTTTGCTTACACTATGACATACTTAACGGCGTTTGTAAACGTCAAGTCTGTGCAGGTGTGATCTCGTTAGCTTTTTGCCCTTAACCTAAAGCAAACTAAACTTTAGGTTTGAACCAAGTTTATATTTTGTTGTTAAAAGCCAATAGAGTACTTTTGTTTGTTGGATTTGATGGGAGTTGCACTCATTTAGCTCGAAATGATATATCTTATGTTTCCTAAATTATTATAAGTTTATAACATATTATCCAATTATCCAAATAAGCAAATGATTAGGAAGTTACCAGAATAATATAAAACACTTTTAATGTTGGTTTGTTATGTTATTACTCTTTCTGTTTCATAAAAAAATGTCACATTGAAATTATTCACACAGATTAAAAAAAGAGAAATTTAGAGTCCTACCAAAAAACTTTACCTTAATTAGCTAAATACCAAATCTACACTGATACATACTGTACATAAATTTTATTGACACTCTTACCCCTATAACTATTAAATGGCAATATCTCTTTCGTTATATCTTCCAAATCTTTTAGTTTTCGTTATATCTTCCAAATCTTTTAGTTTGATTTACCAAATCTGATTTTTGATTCACTATATCTTATTCTCTGCAAATCATACGAAACTTCAGTCTCATAACCTTCGATGTGATCTCCGGTGAAGCTCTCTACTGACGCGTCTCTGGTGAAGCCCTCGACTGCTCCGTTTGAGCCAAACTCTTCCATAGTGGGTCTCCGGTGAAGATTCCGCTGCTGCGTCTCTGGTGAAGCTCTCCACCGTTGTGTCTCCGGTGAAGGTCTCCACTGTTGCGTCTTCGGTGAAGGTCTACACTGTTGTGTCTATGATGAAGCTATCTGTCGCTGTATCTCCGGTGAAGCTCTCGGTCTCTGTGTCTCCCGTCAAGCTTTTCTGCCCATGTCTCTCCGAAGAAGCTCTTCACTGGTGCGTTTCTAGTGAAGATCCCTCAGCCGCCGCATCTCCGGTCAAGATTTACGCCGCTATATTTCCACTTGATGTATATGTTATATATGTTGTATGTATATGTTCTCTACATGTTAAGCCACGATCGTATTTTTTCTGTGGGTTTACATTTGATATATGCTAAGATCTTGTTCATTCGTTAACCGTGTAAATATTATATTAACTGGATAATTAAATTCATTGCCAGCTCGAACAATTATTAACGGTTAATTTTATTCAAGATATAGGTAGAACATTATTGTACCATAACAATGAATTTCAGATAATTGAAAATTAGATTTCTCATTATCGTTAACAAACTATTAAACAAGTTACACATCCAACTACAAAATTAATAAGCAATATAATATTATAGACTATATGCGGTTTATGGGTTTTGACTTATGGTTAAAACTATAATGTGTAGGGGTATGATACTTTATAACTAACCTTATTATTAAATTGTTCATTAATTGTGTTAGCCATCCAAAAAATGTGGTAACTATCCACAAAGAAAATTGGACATCTGATAGTTGAATATATTTCTTCTTCATTTATCAGTCTTATGCTTAATGAAATTGTCTAATACAGTTTAGTGTATCGTATTATAGTGTCAAGGGTTTAGGACCATTGGTTTAGGGTCTAAGGTGTTGCTGTTGGATATAAGGTTTAGATTATTGATTTAAGGTTTGGGGTTTAGGATATTTTGTTTTAAATTTAGGGTTTATGATTTATGATTTGGTTAGGATTTATGATTTTGGTTTTAGTATTTAGGGTTTATGCTTTGGTAATGGTTTAAATCTTAAGATTTTGGGTTTAGTTTTATGATATAGTTTATCCAAATAATTTATTTATTTGCAAATCTGATAATCTGAAAATACAAACAATTCTATTTTTATCCTAAGTAACTCATCTGATAACCGTGTATAAATTATATTAGCTGTCCAACAATTTGACGTTTTCAACAAATACATATATATATATATATATATATATAAATATTGTTGGTATGTTCATTTAATATATCATACGTGTGATCTTAATTTCTTATGTATTAGCTTAAAATCATTAATTTTCTTAGTTGTATATTCAGCTACATACTCATCTAATAAATTAGGTATCGGCTATAATTTAATATAGCCACGTAAATGGTCATTTAACAAAGTAAGATTTATCTGCTGATGTGTCTTCGGGGAAGCTCTTTGTTGTTGCGTTTCCATTGAAACTCTCAGACTATGTGTTTGTGGTGAAACTTTTCACCTCTGTGTCTCCAACGAAGTTTCGCCTATGTGTCTTCAATGAAGCTTTGCACCTATGTATGTATATACTTACAAAACCAATAGCAGTTTCTAAGTTTTATGGTCATCACCACCGTTAATGAAAGAGAAATGATCAGCACACCGGTATTGCTGCTCAAGTTCTCTTCATTGTCATAACCGGATTCCAAACTATAATTATCAAATGACACATTTGTGTAGATAATATGTCGATGGAGATTAATTTCCACGCCATTATACATCTTCGTTTATTGAAGTAGATTATAAAATCTAAACAAAATCTTTCTCAGATCTTTGCAAATCTAAAAAGATCCTGCTATAATATGTCTATGAACTAGGGATAATATTGTCTTTTTACTACATTTTGTCAGTAAACATTAAGTCAATTATACTGTTTTTGGTATATTATATCCAATTCTTTCATTGGTTTTAACCAAATTACCTCTTAAAAAATGATTAAAATGCATTTAAGTTTTTATTAATTAAACATGTTCAACCAAGTATTTGAGATAAATGAAATTATTTTTAAAATCAATACATTTGTAATTAATATTAAGTTGAAAGCTGCATTAAAATTGTAAAATAACATTCTTTTCGTAACAAAAAAATGTTAAGATGACACTTAATATAAAACATGAGAAATATATTACTACTTTACAAGTAACAGTTTTCAGTTTTATTTGTTTTAGGAGATTTTATGCCTAATTGCATCATCTACCGGTTAAATATTTAGAATATGTTGAAAATCTATTGTAATCATTTTTTAGTTAGTTTGCATAATTTCTTTTTTTCAAGATTTAAAACATATACCTTTTGATATGTAAGCATTCATGAACTTTCAGTTAAATGGACTAAAGAGACTTCCGCTAACACTTTTATATGCTGGAAAACAAAAGGGATCAGTGTAAGTAACAAGCCGAAAACAAGAACACTAATTTTTTTTTTGGGTCAAAAACAAGAACACTCATTAAGAAGTTAAAAACTTGGTCAGCTATGCATGTTGCGGAACTAAAAATGTAATAAAAGATCTACAAAACATGTTCATGTGGTTTAGGTAACATTACACAAGACTACAAGAGAGACATCATTCAACTTCTCCAAAAGCGAATACATGAAGAACACTCACTTCTTGTTCTGGTCTTAGTTCCCTTTCCCTGTTCTCTTCAAGTACTCTTTCATGCGACTTTGGTTTGTCTCGAATATAAAAGGCATCCCCCGTATCTGAGTAAACAATCAAGTTTGTTAAACTAAGAACATATAGGAGGGTGCCTATTATTTAATGTAATGGTTAGAAAGTGTAATCCAGGATCAAACCTCAAGCAGACAATCAGATTTGAGGATTGAACTCTGTCCAGGATCTACTTCCTTTTCATTAACTGAGATTGAATACTTCCCCAGGTTCTTTATATGAAACGACCCGTCATCACCCAACCGTATGATCCCCTGCATTCAACAACCAAGAACACACAAGCTTGTCACAGAATCTGTTTTTTTTTCTTCTTCTCATACACAAATCTAACACTTCAAAATAAGACAAGAAGCATCTACTATTGACCAACCTGGCGTCGAGATATTTTGCTGCCACGCTTTTCTCTTCCCAGGTCAATGTCCACCGCGAGATCTTCTGTTGATCTACCCACCAAAACCTGTGCCAAGACAAAGAAAAGACGCAATATGACAAGTCATACAACAACAATACTTAAAAGATAACCAAAATGAATAAGGATCATTAATACCTCAGGTTTCTTGATGTAGTGTTTTGAATATCTACCATACAAAACAGCTAATGCACCACGGGAAGCAATGGCTCTTTGCATATATGAATAAGCAGCCTGTTCAAGTCTTATGATTGTTCTTTTCATGTCTTGGCTCTGATACTTGGAGACTGCACGTGAAAACGTTGAAAGAAATTACAAACAGGCTTCACTACTAAATACTAACTCCTAGATATGATTGTCATACAATAACTAAAAGCTATTTTTAAGCCCCAAAAATGTAGATAGAGTAAAGCAACAAGAGTTTTGCTGAGTGAGTAGGGAAGCTCAGTTACCTTCGAGATCAAAATTATCTTGGTCATCAGGATCCAAGTCCATGTCAAGAATCTGAAATCATAAGAACGTTACTACTGATTATGAGTAAATTAATCATAGAGCTATAAAGCATGACAAATAAGGATGAAAGTTTGAGAGTTACCATAGCCTCAATGTCAGAATAGTTCGGCAACTCCTCGTCACTCTCGAAAGCATACTCACCTGCTTCTGTTTGAGCAATCTCCAGCTTAGGGTCTGGGATCTCTATCAAGCCAACATCAGCATCTTTTGCTTCTGGCACTTCATCTATAGGTATAACACCTTTTTCCTCTTTACTGTTTCCACTTTCCTTCTCGGTGTAGCTTCCATTTCCATCATGTCCAACGATGCGTTTTCCACCGGCCATACCTTTGTTTCCATCTTTCGCATCACCAGCATCATCAGAAAGCAGAGTGTTTGAGCATCCCTGTGCAGAACCAGCAGGAGGAAGAGTATTATGTGAGTCACCTTGACTTGATTGACCAATCTCTTTCTTTCCTTTGGAAGACCCTTGCAAACGTCCTGGTGTTTTCTTTTGTGTATGTCCTTCCCTAGTGGCAGAGAGATCTCTAATAGATGAAGTTCCTGGATTATTTGTATCTTTAAAATTTCGCCGGGCTAACGAATAAACTGACATTGGATGGCAGGTGTTGGACACAAAAAGGTCATCATTACACGGAATATCAGGATCCTCTTGGTTTAATACACAGCAGATTACACCATCAACAACCTCAGGATGAGGATCAAGAACAGCTGAGTCAGACACAGGTTTGCACTCCATTGACCTCACTGCACTTGTACCATGTACCTCAGGCATCACATGGCCATCCAGAGCATCATTAACAGGATGGACTTGTGAGCTGGAAGGAGCTTCTCCTGTGGTAATAGGCAAAGCTCTGCTATTTGTATTCACCAACAGTGAGGTGAGACCATCGTAATACAACTTGTCAACTTCTTTGCCATCTACTTCCATGAGCGGTTCCTCGTCTTCAAAAAGAGAAGTTGAAAGCTGTGCCAGGAAACAATCAGTGCTAGCCATGGTGGTTTTCGGCTCTAGTTTCTGCTTGGAATCTTGATGAACCGCATCACATTCGGAAGGACCTGCATGTTCAGTGAACGTAAGATCTCCTCCTCCTCCTACGTAGGAGATGTTTCCCTGTACATTATCTTCTGACATAACATTATTAGTCATGCAACCCCCATCAGCCAAGATATCTGGGAAAGCATTGTGGATAATGTCCATGTGAGAGTCTTCAAGACCAAGATGAGTTGCATCACCACCATTATCCATGAAATGGCTGTCATTTCCCGGGCCAAGGAATCCTAAGTCCAAGGAATTGAATGACTCAGTCTGAAATTTCTTCCTTAAGGTATGATAAGTCCTTCTGAGCTGTTCAGCCTTTCTCTTCCTTGAAGAGCCTTTGTTTTCCTTTGATCCAGTTCTAACAAACTTTGTAGGAAGATTATGGTTGGTACGTTCAAGCTCAGCCATTCGAAAAGCTGCCTCTGCAGAAACTACTGGATCATACAGGAGTGCATGCCATCGATCTTGAAGTTCTTTGATAGAAAATCTCCTAGAAAACTGCACAGCGCCTTTAGCAAGTGATTCCAAAGACGCACCAGCCTGCAAATCAATTAAGGAGATCAGTTCACTTCATTGCTAGAATGCCACACAAGCTAGCAAACAGGCAATTGCAAAGAAGAAACCCACAGAAATAACTTGATAGTCTCAAAACTAATAACCACTAAATGTTTCCAACTACTTCGTCTAAGCAATTTGATACAAACTTTGCACACATTCAGACAAACAGTGTCCAACACAAGGGACAACAAACTTTACACACATTCACGAGAGTTAACCTCTATGGAGTTCTTTAGAAGCAGGTCGTCTTCGGGTATCCAGGGAACAACCTGAGCAAGAGCCCCCATGTTCGAACTTGTCTTCTCTCAGAAAAGATTCATGTAAGAGAGGTCTAAGAGTTGGTGGTGATAGCACACAAGACCTGATATGAAAAAAAAAAAAAAAAAAATCAAAATCAAAATTAGCAAATATTAGCAGAAATTAGACAAGGAAATGATGATTTAATAGGAAAGTATAATTAAGCACATGAATAATTCACCTTGGATGAGCCAAGAAAGATGTCTTGTCAAAAATTATAGTGAGGTTCAACAGATTATCAACAGTAACCATGTCACAAAACTAAAACAACAACAACAACAACAACAAGAGTCAGGATTTTTGGAAAGTTTTTTTCAAAATTTTGGGGGAAAATAGTAAAATTAAGGCAAGTGAAACGAACCACTGTTTGGAGAAGAATCAATCCGCCATTGCAGGATACAAGTACAATTCCATTGAAATTTAGTATCTACTGAAAGAAAAGAATCAATCATTCATCGTTAGAACTCTGAAAGACCAACAAATTCAACTCTCGCAAGTTGATGATTACAAAATCAATGTACAGTGGAGAAAAATTAGTGAAATACCCAACAAGAAAGGACCTGACTTTGAGGAGGAAGAGGATGCAAAATCTGTAAGATAGATGTGAAACCCTAATTTTCTGTTTCCTCGTCCGATGAGAAGAAGATAACACGATGGACGCAAACGACACCGTTTCTGTATTTTAGTTTGGTTGAATAAAATATGATTTTCTATAACTGGCTATAGTTTGGAGTTTATTAGACCATGTGTATTAATGAACCCCCCCATTAGGGTTCATAACTGAAATTTTTATTATTATTTATTTTTTCCGTTTGATTTTGCAAAAAAAAAAAAAAAAAAATTCTATTGACCAATAGCGGGCCGCCACGTGGCGTGGGGCCCGCAAAACAGTGATGAACTCCATCCCTCACGGGATCACTGGGGAGAGCTGGAGAGAGACAGGATCATGGACAAAATATTATTTTAATATATTTTCTTCTTGAAAATTGTGTGAAGTTTGGCCATGATCCTTCAATGTACATGGTCTTAACTGCTCTTTTGGTCTAATCGCCAAAGTAATCACAAAACGATGAAGCCAAAGGAAGAATACTTCCCCAAAAACTCTGTTTGTTTTTTTTTCTTTCATTTACAACTGTAGCAACTTAATCTACAAACAAGTAACAGATTCTTTGATAACTCTATTACATTCTTCTTTAACAGCTTCTTCATAAGTTTATTTACAACATACAATTTTGAAACAATCATAAGAGCATCTCATCACAGGGAAACCAAAAATAAAATTATTATTAAAATCAGATTTCTATGAAACTTTTTCTCAAAAGTTTACTGCGGTGAATTCCGATTATCTTGGGTTCACCACGTGTCAGTCTGTGATTGGTCCATTATTATTATTATTTTTTTAAGTAAAAAAAAAAAATTAATTTTTTATTTGTGTGAACTTTTGGAGAGGGGTTCACTGATGTGGATGCTCTAAGAGCAGAGCACTTTGTTTCTTTGATCCTTAGAGCACCCCTATTGAAGATTCATGGGGGGAGTTCACACAGAAATCAAGAAAAAAATAATAAAATAATAAAAACCTATGAACCCCTCTCTCCTAAAGTTCACCGCGGTGAACCCCCCTCTCCTGAAGTTCAACACGTGGTGGCTCAGGATTGGTCTAAATTTTTTTTTTTTTTTTTTTTTAAAAATAAAAAGAAAAAACAGAAAATTTTTAATAATTAAAAAATGATTCAATGAACCTAAGAGGGGGTTCATTGATGTGGATGCCCTTAGGTGCAAACACAATGTTTTTAGCCATTAGGCCAACTTCTCGATGAGGATCACGTTTTACTTTCGCTTCTCGATAGGTTTCTCTTGAAATTTAGGCAACACTTGAAACAGAGAATAGCAAAAGAAATCTTACGGTAGAAACACACAAATTTTTTAATATATATTGTTTCATAACATCGTAAAATTTTCATGCTTCAACGTACATTTATATTAATTTATAAAGGAAAAAAGTTTGCCAGCTACACGAAGTATTGGCTAATATAGTGGTAACCATCCCAGGTTTCAGAATGTGTCAAGAACTACACGAAGTTTATTTAAATACATGCCACATATACGAACTTAATAATTATATGGTGCCAACATCACGACCGAGTTTAATTGATTCTAATCAAAGGTTTTGGGGCCAAACTGTAATTAATTAAAAAATCAAGTTAAAAGAAAAAAACAAAATAAACCGAACGAACCAAGAACAAATCGTCGGTTTTGTGCTGGTTAGTGAACTCGAAAAGACCCATATTCTTCCCCCAATTTAGGGTTCATAATTTCGTTTTCATACAAAGAAACAGAGAGAGGGGAGAGAGAGAGAGATCTCGAGAGAGAGAGAGAGAGAGAGAGATGGAATTGGGAGGAGGAAGTAATCATAATCGAAGGGGAAAGGCGATTCAAGGCAATGTGGTTTGCTTTTGCGGATTGCCGGCGAAGATAGCTCAGGCTTGGACAGACCAAAATCCGGGTCGAAGGTTCTATGGGTGTGTACGATATAAGGTATAAGAAGTTGTAATCTGTTCATAATTTCGAGTTATTTTGGTTGTTAATTTTGTCAATGTTGTAGCGTGGAGATGAATGCAAGTTTTTTCAATGGTTTGATGAGGAATAGCCTTATGGGTGGCAAAAACAAGCTTTGATTGAAGCTAAAAACGACATTCTTGTGAAGAAGAACACTATTGCGAAATTGGAGAAGAAAATTGTTCTTGGTTCGTTCGGTTTATTTTGTTTTTTGTTTTAACTTGATTTTTTAATTAATTACAGTTTGGCCCCAAAACCTTTGATTAGAATCAATTAAACTCGGTCGTGATGTTGGCACCATATAATTATTAAGTTCGTATATGTGGCATGTATTTAAATAAACTTCGTGTAGTTCTTGACACATTCTGAAACCTGGGATGGTTACCACCATATTAGCCAATACTTCGTGTAGCTGGCAAATTTTTTTCCATTTATAAAATCCATTCATACATTAGTTATATATAAGTCTTCGAGTGATGTAGAAGAGGATGCAGTTTATAGAACTCAATGGCAACACTTGTAATAGATAATATAGCAAGAGAAACCTTAGGTCGATTGACATGACAATCAAAACACACAAAAAAAACCTTTTTTAATTTATATTGTTTCCAAATTCAAGAAGTTTAAAATGCGATAGATAATACAAAAATCAAAAACACAAGCACGCACATATTTAATTAGGTGCATGTTTCACGGGAAATGCCGAGCCTTGAATTGGGAACGTCGATGAGGACACGGTGGTTCTGCTGCTGCATGCTAGCGATGACGTTAAGAACTGAGTTTACGTTGTTCGGAGCTGCGGCCATGGCGAGGCAGCTAGTGCTACCGGATGAGCTGTGGATGAGAAGATTGTCCGGAGGCAAAGTCACGTTCATTCCCGCAAACATAAACGTGACAGGTGGGAACACAACGGAGCCGGAGTAGCAAGTGTCGAAACCTCCTAGTGATGTTGCGTTTGCGTTCTTGACACGTCGTCTGAACTCGTCTCTCACGGCAAGGTAAGCTGGTTCCACTAGCCTCGTGAAGACCGTCCCTGTGTACGTACAGTGAGTAAGTGTTTTTGTTAGCGTTCCAAAAATACTGTGAAACTTTTATAAATTAATAATGTTGGGATTACACCAAAATTTTATTTTTTATTAATTTAAAGAGAATTAAATACATCTGCCTAAATGGTAAATTGATCATGAATAAAATGCTTTTTCAGAATATTTTTTAAAATCGATCAGTTTAATCTGCGCGTAAGTGTTTGTCTAAGCAATAATTCTCTACAAAATGTCTAATTACAGCTTAGCATTTTTTTAAACATTTTGTTTTCATTTAAAAGTAATTAGTAAATTTCGATTGTCTTAGAGAATGTAAGGAGTCAATACCGGAGTCGAAGATGGTGCCAGCTCCAGTGGCCGGATCAAAGGCGAGTGCACTTGTAGGAATATCCACAATTTTGTTTCCGACACGAATCCCAACCAAGTTAACATAGTAAAGCGAAGACCTCCTAGGGTTCTTTAACAACGGAGTTGTCTTGATCCTAAGAGGTTGAAACTTAGGTCCAAGTCTTAACGATCCCGAGAAGTTGCTTGACTTACTATTAGGCAAGCAGTACGAGAACGTGGACATGTAAAGATTCTGTGTCTGTGAGATTAAAGACAATGGACCACGACCTAAACCCATGAGTCCTTGCGCTGGCAAGGATGTTCCTGTGGCTTGGTTGATGCAACCAAATGTATAGTTTGGGATGACGTCATTGGCTAGTGTTAGTGTGTCTTGTGTCAGAGATGCTGTGATGGCTGATCCACCATAAGTCATATTGAAACCACATGATTTGCCTACGTTGCACGTTGGATTTGGAGCCTGCAAAAAAAAGAATATTCGTACTTTAGCAAACGCATTAACATAAATAATTGTTTTGTCCATCTTGGATCTGGTTATGGTTATGGATGCATTATTTAAAGTGCGGTAATAACGATGTGTTACGTTCTTTAGTATGTAAGCAAACACTAACCAGCGTGACGACATATAATATTAGATCAAACAGTAAAATGTGCCCTACTAGTTGGTATTGTTAATACAAAATATCCGTGACTAGAGTCTTTTTGTTATTGTAAATAGTATAATATGTAGAACCCGTGACTATCTTAGACTTGTCGATGATGGTGTAATAACACCGCCAAAATGAAGTTCACATCACATCTTTGTGTGTATAATCAACACTAGCAAAAGTCCAACATGAGTGGTCCATCATTTTGGTTTTCTTGTTTTGCGGAAACAAAATCCGAAGAACCTATCTATTACTACAGAGTTTTGACGAAAGTGATGAGTCTCAAAACTAGACAACAAATCGCATAGATAACAGTAAAATGTTTATAACAAAAATAGTACACAAAAAAGGGAAAAAAAAATAGTATACAAAGGAAAAAATTCTTCAAAATAATGTTTATTATACAAGGAAGAGACTAAATTATCCTAACCTTATTTCAATCCCTAAATACTAAACCCTAAATAATAAATACTAATCACTAAATATTAAATTCAAATATAATATATATTTTTACTGTAAAATTTGTTAATAAGTTTTTTATTAGGATTAATAGATCTAACTAACCACTTAGTTATATATAATGGTGTATTAGTCATTTTAATTATTAATTATTTGTTTTCAGAGATTATTCCACTTGTGTATTATTTGTGTCACATTCAATTATTTTAGTTTATTTGATGGTATTTCTCAAAACTAAATGCATAATGATTATCTATTTATTTAATATCAAATTACAGTTTAATAAAATTTGGTTAATTCGTTATAAGATTATCATCACCACTCTGATTTAAAGAAGTTCTGTTTTTACGTCAATAAATAAAAATAAATGCATGCAGTATAATATAATCTCAGTAAAAAAAAAAGCAGTATAATATAATCTATGTCTAAGGGTAATAAGAGATAACAATTTATTTACCTGTTTACACTGAGGAGCTTCACATGGAAGAGTGCGAGAAGAACTTGACTTGGAAGGGTCAAAGAGAACAGAGGAAGCACATCCAACACAGCCAGAACAAGGAACCCAAGCAGCGTCATTGCTAGTGTCAAGAGCCACGAGCATGGGCTGAGCCGGTGTACCAATGTTAGC